TCACAGTACTACCAAGTGACAGAACCCTCTTGTGTCTCTGTTCAGCACTCTGTTACTTACTCAGGGAATAGAGGAGAAACATGAAATATATTTGTCTCCTTTACCCTATTACCTATCTGGATCCAAGTCAATTCTAGCTATTTGCCTGGAAAATTGTCATGTGTATATTCCCACAGATATGTATATACCACTATTTATAGGTGACAACTTAATTACTGTTGATTTGTTAACTCAGCAGTGAGTGATTTTAGCTTCCAGTACAAAATGTTAAAAAGAGAAAATATTTGTACATAGTGATGTACATCTTTAGGCAGTAAACTGAGGCCCTAAATGAATAAAAAATGTTCCAAGTATATGAGTTGTTATGGTGAACAAAGGTGGTACTTGGATTGTGATCAAAGCACAAGTTAATTTTTACCTCTCACTGTTCTTTGAACATTATTTAATGAGAATAATCGTTCTTGTCTTCCAGCTCCCACTGATGAACTTAAAAGACCATTTCTTAGATTGTGGCCAGTGGGCCATCCACAAAGGCAATCACCTAGAGTGATTGTTGAAAAGGCAGATTTCTGTATCCTACCTGAAAACTACTTAATCAGAATCTTCAGTTTTAAGAAGTAATACATGTAAAGTCTTGGTTCACTAAAATCTGAGAACAGTTGCATTGGATGAACAGTTTCAATACAGAGATAGGGACAGCAGTCAAATTTCAGGGGAATGAAGTGGGAGATAAATAGAATTTGTAGAAAGCTACTGTAGAACACCCCTAATTAACTTACCTGTGAAATGGAACAAAAAGGGGATTAAAATCAAGTTATGACCTTTCAAAATTCAGTTAGCTTTCAGCAAATGTTAGCCTTCAGCAAAATGTTGTCTTCATTTTTGCTCCATATAATCCCTACAAAAAGTTTGAAAAACATTGCATAGCCATATATATTACAAAGATCACATTTAAAATATCATACCTTTAAATAGTTGCAAAGGGTGTAATTTCCAACATATTTGTAAATAATGGTATTTCAGAATAGATCTTTTAAATCATCCTTTCAAATGTATCCAATGGAATCTAGATATGGTGGTGATTTGCTACCTCTATCATTCATTTAATAATACATGGGAATACATGGGAATGTCTTTGGCAGCAGACATTTTAAATAGTTTATTTTCACCTTGAACCTATATTTTCATTTCACTTTCCTAAAATAATTATTTCCTAGCATAATATATTTTTGCTTAAAAGTATTTTATTGATTACCTTATAATTCCTGCAACAAAAATACATACATAAATTGAATTTTATTTTTTAAATTTCCTTTGACTCTAAGTATAATTTTTTATTGAAAGAGCATTATAATTATCAGTGTAATAATTAAAACAACATACATGCATATTTGTAAAAGATATTAAACAAATATTAAAATGCTATTGGGAATTCATTGTTAGTACAGACAGATGAGAGTCTACTTTTGTGCTCAGTTCGAGTATCAACAATGGATATTACTTTTTGCTGAAATGAGACAGGTGTTAGCAAAATTTATTTTTGTTTGTTTTTACAGATGTGAGCACTGAAAAAAGTTAGTTCACCTAAATAAGTGGATGTAAATGGAGGCAGTTTTGTTATGGCAATATCATCCAATTCTTTGATCTCCTTTTGCAGGGTCAGGAAATTGACAGGGGCTATGAGTCAGTGTTTTTTAACCTCCTTCAACATTTTATAGTGATTTTGGGTACACTGACTTAGGACAGGATTGGTTTAAAGTCATGTGTTTAGCATCCAAGCTTTCCAAATCAGACATTGCTTTTTGTTTTGCCATAGTCCTGCCTGATGTGGTTTGTGCCAAGTGAATAGTTCCACATCAGGACCACAATAGATTGTTGATGTGCAGCCTTTAATACACAGAAGGGTCTATGACTATGTTATTTTTCTTTAAGTTGTATAATCAGATAATTATAGGAAAGACATAAAACTAAGTATTCCCAAGTACATTTGAATAATGTTAACTTCAAAAGTGTCCTAGTAGCTGGGAAATTTAGTTTTCTGGCCAAGATTTTGTTCAGAATGCAACATCAAGAGAGAATATAGCTGCTAAGTTGCTGCGAGATTTCAACTGGTCTTCAGGCTTGTTTCTACAATATATAATCATTATTTAGAAGAGTGTTTTAGCCCATGATCATTTTTGCAGTTTCATTTTAAAATTCCAGCACTTTTTGAGACAGTAAATTCGTGAGGTAATAAAATCATTTAGAATTTGTCATTCATTCATTCTACATTGATTAAATAGTTACTAGATAACAAGTAGATACTAAGGCAATGGGTAGGAAATGATGAATAAAATATGATTCCTATCCTCACAGATATCTTCTTTATTTTGGTTTGAATATGCATAAATCTTTCCTTTATGATCAGAAATTTAAAAGGAACCCTCATGCTTCATGAAATATTCTTTTGAATTACTTTCCAGAAAATCTATCTACTTTCTTAGTCATTCTACAATTCTGTGTCCGAGATTTAGGAAAATGGCTATAATCTGCATATTTTTAAAAAGCACATTCTCAAAGGAATCATAGAGTATTGTACGATCAATGTTTAGATTTTGACAGGTATTAGTTACAATTCATCTTATTAGAAAAGGCACACAGGGAAATAGGTAATTATATTTGAATCATTAACAAGCTCAGGGAACATATGAGAAGAATAAAGCTGTAATTCCAAGTATCCAAAAAGGTATTATTTAGAACTACTTATTAGATGGCAAATTTAGTAATTCTTCTCTAGCCTACCACATGTTATTTGTACTTCTATTATAATATTTTATTCATTCTGCATGGTATTTACAGTTTGCTTAACTCTATGTCCAACATTGTGTTTTAGGCACTGTGGGGAATACAAAGGCCTAAATCACAGATCTTGACACTAGAAGTTTCCTTGGAATGTTGTCTACCCAGATAACAGTAAGGCAATTCTTGCTTAGTTGCCAGTGTTTACTGTGCCTGGGGCTCATCAGAAGAACTATTTAAGATTTTCTTCAGTTATTTATATGCTAAGTACCAACAACAGACAACACACTCACCAATGAAAGATGATGATAGATGCTAACATTGATGTTTAAGGAGCCTATTGGAAAATAAGTTGGAAAGTTAGAAAAGGGAGTCACCTGTTTGTAACTGGTATAAAAATCAACTATATATCTATCTGTGTATGTTTATTAATTTCTTAGTATTAGAAAAAATAGATAGATAGATAGATAGATAGGTAGATAGATAGATAGATAGATAGATACTGATCTATTATAAGGAATTAGCTTACATGATTATAGAGGTTGACAAGCTCTGTAGTCAGTAAGTTGGAAACCCAGGAGAGCTGATGTTATAGTGCTAGTCCAAAGGCCAGTAGGCTTAAGACCCAGGAAGAGCCAATATTTCAATTTGAGTCTGTGAGGGAAAAAAAAAATGTCCCATCCTGAAGACAGTCAGGCAGGAGAAATTTCCCTCTTCTTCGAGGAAGGGTAAGCCTTCTGCTTATTTAGGCCTTCAACTGATTAGATGAGGCCCAACCACACTAGGGAGGACAATCTACTTAGTCTATTGATTTAAACTCACCCAAAAATAGTCTCACAGAAATACCCTAAATAATATTTGACCAAATAGCTGGGCACCCTATAGCCTATTCAAGTTGACTCGATTTACCATTACACCTTCAAAAATAAGAAGGGAAAGAGAAAGGTATAACTAGATTTATAGAAAACTGCAGGTAAAATATCTACAAAACTTAGAAAAAGATAATCATTTCATTCTCTATTTCTAAGTTTTTTAAATCCCTTTTAAGTAGACACTCATAAATTTGTTCAGCCTCCCCATGTTATGTAGGAAGAAACCATGTTGCAAAGAAATAAATTGTCTGGTCCAAGATCATGCAGCTCATTAACCATCAAGCCAGAACTAAAATCAAAACCTTATAATTTCTATATTCTTTCTAGGGATACACTGGTACAGTTCCCCCATTATCGTGTGTATGCATAACATGGAAGCTGTAAAGTTCAAACGCAATTTCAAACTGGCATCGGTGACTATGCTCCTGATGCATGACTGCTGTAGAAATATTTACCTCTGTACAAAGTAGTGATTCTGATTCAGATCTCAAAGTACTTTCTGCACAGTTATGACTGAATTATGTGACGATTTGGAGTTACTTCAAAACAAGCCCTTTGCATCCTCTCATAAGGACTTTTGAACAAAGAAAACAGACCTTTAACACTGCCTGTGAAAGTAAAGAACATGATAAGGAAGTGTTTATACAGGCATGTAGCCAGAGTGGACTATTCGTTTTCAAGCTTTGATTCCTAAGAGAAGACATCTCTTCTAACCTAACCAGCTTAGAAAAACACTGCTCTCTTCCTTCAGGTGTAGACTTAAAATACCGTTAATACATCCCCTAGTGGAGTGTGTGTGTGTATGTGTGTGTGTGTGTGTGTGTGTGTGTGTGTGTGTGTGTGTTTAGTCCTGAGTACCCTACACTTCCTTCTGTTTCTGAAATTGTTCAAGTGTTCAAGCAAATGTTTATGTAAAGACACTCACATTTTCAGATATTTTGTAAAAAATAACTACAAAAGTCCACGAGGGGACTGATGACAAGATGCTTTCCATAATGAACCACCTTCAAAATTTTCATAAGAACCTCAAAATAGATCATAATGAATTCCCTGTTACAAATTCTCCTAGGACAAAGTGCCACATTTTTAGAAGTGGGCTGCCAGGAAACAAAATCTGGCAGGCAGAGGGGGTGGGGTGAGTGGAGGGAATCTAGAAGGAATTGAGTTTCAACACTTTGCTTTTGCTCACTTGCCTGGGTTTAAAAGCGGAAGCTACTGTACTTCAGTGAGGAAGGAGCTGGGTTTGATATTTGCAAGTCCAGGCGGGAGGGCTGCGAGCATGCAAATCTAGCAGCTGGAGTGTGTTGTGGTAGCTGCTTTCCTGTGCTAAGCTGATTTACTTGTTTAAGGTCTGACCTCATCATCCTGTCAGTATGGGTTCCCACCTACACTGTTAGCGGCAGCTCTCTGCATCAGCTGGAAAGCTAGAAGTGTTCACAGTGTACCACAGACAGCGGGGGAGGGGGGCGCAAGAAAGACAGCTCTGGCACTTGTGCTTTTGTTAGTCCTACAGAAGAGGCAGAGAAACAAGAGATAACAAAGGCTGTTTCCTTTCTGTGAGAGAAGGCTTTTGTCTTTCCTCCCGCAACGATGTCAGTGTCTGGCAAGAAAGAGTTTGATGTGAAACAGATCCTAAGGCTACGCTGGAGGTGGTTTAGTCATCCTTCTCAAGGTTCGCCCAACACTGGAAACTGCCTTCAGCAGGAAGGATATGAGCATAGAGGGACCCCGGTTCAGGGCAGGTTGAAGAACCACTCTCGGGACAGAAATGGACTGAAGAAAAGCAACAGTCCTGTCCACCACAACATACTGACACCAGTGCCAGGACCGGCCCCTGCCCATCAAAGAGCCCTTCAGAATTGGCACCCACAAAACCTGATAGAACATCTTCGAGCAAATGAAGATACTCCTAAAGCAGTTCCAGAGAAGACTTTGTTCCAAGAAGCTTGTGAGAAACACTCACAAGATTTGGAGATGATGGCTGATGACAATACAGAAGATTCTACAGCAAGGTAGGAGTTTTCCATCACATAACTGAAAGTCATAGCCTAGGTTAACTTATCCTCTAAAACTCTCATTTAGTGTTGAAATAAAACTCTGAATTTGTAAACAGCCAATCAGGGTCTCCGAGTAACCCCCTCCTCTAAGTATATAAAGGAAAATAGTAATAAAACAGACGTTTTGATAATTAATAGGAAATACGTTTTCGGGTTGTGAGTTTACTTTTCCTGTTCCATTCTGATTCCATTAAGACTTCTGTTTCAGTTCTAAGAGATGTTTATTATAATTGCTAATTTTCTGAAAATATCCTCTGTGGCTTGAATGTTTGAATAGTTGTGATTCTTTGTGAAAGTGTGATGAACCACACAGAACTCTTTCAGACTTTGTCAGTTAGGCCAACTCTGACAAAATAAAAGCTCTGACTGCTCAGCACATCCTTATCTGTTCCTTAGTACACAGCTGCTATATTGACGCTTGATAAATGTTATCTTTACGTGAGAATACGGAACGGCTTCCGTCAGCATTTGAGATTTATTGCAAGTTGTGTTAGTTTCCTAGCTAGTTCGCAATCATGAAACTATTTTGCATAAAGCAGGTAATAAAATCCTGCTTACAGCAGTGAGATCTTAAAGTAGGGAATGGAACATGTTGGCTATTTCAAGACATTAAAATGGAATGTGAAGTGATAATAAAGTATAGTTTAAGTATAGTTTATAAAGTATTTGACTTCATCTTTATTTTCATGTCCACCAGAATTGAGTGGGAGAAAATTATATTCCGTCCTCAAATATTGTCTAATATAACTTCACCTAATAGATCTTTACTTTTTTTTTCTTTTTTCCTTATCAGATTTTATTTCCCCAATATGTTGTAGACACAGTTAATGACCTTGGTAGTGTAATTAAAGTGTAAAAGGGCTATAGAAAAAGAAATATTTTTGAAACTACTTCTTCATTAAGCTATGCTAATTTATTTAGAAATCTGAATATTTGGTATACTGTATCTCTATATAACTATAGAGGAAGACTGGTAAATCTGCTTCTGGATATAAGTTTTTCCAATATATCTATCTGACAGTTCCTTGCTTCCATAAATTCAAAACATAACATCAGTAGAAAAAGCAACATAACAACATTATGGCAAAAGACAAATCAGCTTTGAAAAATGATGCCTTTATAGGAATTCAGTCTTTCTGATGAAATGCAAACATGGGAAGATTTTATAAAATGACTTTAACTATAATAATAGATTGTTTGAGATACAGATGTCTTAAGAAACAAAATGTGTATGTATGAATTTTCCTAAATATTTTTGTGATTACTCCAGAAAATGCTATAAAACTATTGGTACTGAAGATTGTATTTAGCACAAATATAATATACAAGTATAATACAATCTATACTTTTAGATTTCAGATTATCTCTCCTCTCTATGAACAACAATTTTAAAAACCTCCTGAATTTGGAGCTTAATATTAAGCACATTTGACTCTGTTGTAGAGAAGTTTAAGTTATGCACTGTGACTTCCTGACAGAATTCTTTGAGGATCTCTGAATTGATTTTTCCAGCAATGAGAATATATTTACAATAAATTAGTTGCTAAATGAAAAATGCCAGATAAAATGTCAAATATAAAATAGCATCACCAAGTAATATTTTAAAAATATGTTTCTCTATTTTATTCTTGATAGTGTTCATGTTCTAAAACTTGTTCTGTTAAATATCCTATGGTTACAGTAGAAAGTTAATATTTTCTTAAAATAAATATAGGAAGTGGTTTTATAGCTGTGCCAAGGATATTTTAAGCAGAAGAGAAAGGGTAAATTGAGGATCTTATTAATTGAAATATGATGGTTTATTAATCTATCACTACCCATGCTGAATTGTTTCGTCTTGGTTAAGGAGAATTTGAGGAGGAACTTTCTTATGTCCTGCTTCTTTTATGCCTCTCTCCTTCAAGCAGATTGAAGAAGAGGAGGAAAAGATCATGAGAGGCAGGCAGCAATGTGCCATTCCTTCAATAGAACTCTTGTGGTTAAAAAACAAACAAACAAAACTGACAGTGCAGTAGGTGTGGAGAATCATCACACTAGTACAAGGTGGGCTTTGACACTTGAGGCAAAGTAAGGGTCTTTAAACCATCCTGCTTTCTACAAATATTGCAGGGAGTTAATAGAGAATTGGCTAAATTACTAACGTGTAATATAGTTGAATAACCTACAATTATTCCTAAAACAGAAATTAAAGCCAAGATATTAAAGTTATATGAATATGTTGGTTAGGGGATTTAAAAACCCGAATACATTCATATGTAATTGACCGATAAGTAGATACTTCATTTAGGAGCAACTCTGTATCATGATCCCACTGTGAGAATACACATACCAATATGCCTGCCATCAGAGACCTGGACTCAATTATCATTTTCTTTTTGTCCTAATTATCTACTAATTCTGCATCTTTGCTACCCCATAACGACCTTGCTTTATGTCCTTTCTTTTCTTAATTCATCCCTAGAATCCTAAAATTCTGAATATTTTAACAGTGTATTATGATCATGCTCCTTACATGACAGTATTTTGTTATAAGATTATATATACATATGTATATACTGCTCAAAGAGAAATGATCACATAAGTCTCAGGTGTATGTCAAAGTGTTAAACTGCATTTGCTAAGACAAATGCAGTTATTTCCTTGTTCTGCTTGAGAACATTGAATACAATGCTGATGACCTGTGTATGGGCCCAGAACAACAAACGTGTCCCTGTGCAAGATTGGAGGTTCACAGAGCTATTTAGTTTTAAGAAATTGACAGGAATGGGGATCATACTCTCATCTTACCTGTCGATGCTTTTGGTTTTTGCATAACTTATGTATGGTATGTGATTTTGTGTATCTTTGCCAGTGTTGCCCTGTCAGACAAGACTCCAAATTCCCTCTCCACTTGAGTCCTTTCCAATTTTCAAGTGAGATTCACCTAGAAAAAAAGAGCAGCTGTCATTGTATACTGTGATATCCCAAAGAAGGGGGCATTGGATGAATAAGACTTAGAATTCATTAATAACTTATTCCACAAATATTGAGCACCATTTGTGTCAGGCACACTTCTAGATGCTTGAGATAAAACAAGATCAAAACAGAGAACCTGTTTTCATGAAGTGTACATTCTAATGGGAAGAGAAAGGCAATCAAAATAAACCAAAATGTAATACATATGTGGTTGTAATTAGTATGAAGAAAAAAATAATTTGAGGGCAGAGAGTGAAGAAGGGATACTCCTTTAGATAGGGAAGGCCTTTCTGATGAGATAACATTTGAGCAGAGATCTAAATGAAGTGAAGGGGGAAGCCATGAGGATGTCTGACCCAAGAATTGAAAACAAGTGAGAGGTTACTGCTGCTGTACCGCAGGGGAGCCCCTAACCTCCACCCATCTTTTTCTATTCAAATCAGTGCCTCTTATCCCCACACAATCCTTTGATTAATGTCCCAAACATCCTTAACTGAACTGGTGAACTCAAAAATATGCCCTGACCTGTTGTTTATTATGGTGACTTTAAGAGCACATGCATGTCCCATGGCCACAGAGGTGACGTTCCAGCCATCCTGTAACCATGGTGCCATTTTGTCCTCTGGGGATCTGGCTATTCAGCCAGCAGACCATATGCCTCATGTACAGAGGCCCTTGTGCCCTTTGTGAAAACAGACACATGACAGTGTATTTGCTTTCTTAACAAAACAGTTCAGATGGGGCCAAATGTATTATGTGTCTCCATCCTCAACACAAATCCATCTGAGATATGGAATACATTTCAGAAGTACTTCTGCGTAAGAAAAATCTTAAATCTTAAACAGTGAAGCTTACTTTAAAATCCTTTCTCATAATGTAAGAAGTAAGGTATGAGGGTTCTGGGAAGACAGAACAACAATTTCAAGAGCTCTGAGATGGGAGTGGGCTTAATATGTTCAAACAAAAGGAAGCTAGTGCAGCTGGAGTACAGTCTTCATCTGGGAGAGCGGTAGGAGATGGTTTCAGAAAGGTAACAACAAGAATACAATATTAAAAATAGTAAGTACCTTTTGTAGACATTTGCTATGTGCCAGGCACTAAATACTCTACGTACATTTTCTCATGTTCCCAAAGAAAATCTTTGAATGTAAAGATAGTGTATGTGTCTACAAATGATATTTCTCAGGGTATTATTTTGTTAGCTATCTGTGGTTGTTATTGCTTATCTTCTAACAAGGCAAAAATATTGTGATTTTCTAAAGTTCAGAGCTAGGCCTGCTTTCCTTAATTGTACACGGCATTATTCAGTAGAAACTGTTACTTCAAAGAATAAGGAACAAACTACAATTTTATTCTTGCCTATAGAAAGTTTAAGGTTAAATCCCTTTGTCTATGGGTTAAAATGTCCCAAACAAAATTAGATAATTTAGTCAATTGCTTTATTAAATTTAGAGCATTTTAACATATAATTTAAACTTAATACAATGATTCTTAACATTTTTAGAGTTGGAACTTCTGTTGGTTGATTTTGAATCCTTGCTACTCACAGCTTCTTTCCTGAGAGTGAGGTACCTTGGTCCTCATGACTCATTCCTAACATGGTGGGATTGCATGTATATTTAAGTTAACATTAATTAAAATATATTTACTATCTGAGAAACTGGAGACCCCTTTGCATCTAGGGATCTGGCAATATGTTACGGCCATGTTTCTTTAAATATTATGAGTAAGCACCTATAGTTGTTATTTCTGATATTTGAAAGACAAGTATCATTTACTTCTGCATTTGGAAATATAAATAAAGAATTTAAAATATATGGTACTATTTGATGTGACTTCAAGAGCAATATATTAATTACATTGACCTGTTATATAGTGCCTAAATGTTCAGCTGCTTAGTACTTTAAAGTCTATTTTTTAAACTTGTATATCTCCTTTCTGACTCCTATATCAGATGTAAGACATCTGCTCCTTAATACTAATCTTTTTTATGTTTTCCC